TTGGGGGACACGTCGATGTCTTGGGGCAGCTGCGGGGACTTGAAGCGGAAGTTCTGCAAGATGTTGGTGAGGAAGAGAAAGAGCTCCATTCTAGCCAGGCCTTCTCCAAAACAGTAGCGCTTTCCTGAAGACACAGAAGAGGGGGGCTGGAGGTGAGACCTGCTCTCACTGCCCCTTGCCCCACTACCCTCCCCCATATGCTTTCTCCCAGGAATGAGGGGCTGGAAGAGCCTGGCCTGAGAGACTTTCAGAGACCTCTCTAATCCTCTCTGAGCATCAGTTTCCCTTGTGCATGGGATGGGGGTGAGCTAGCTGTAGCAATGGGAAGTTTAGATGCCCCTCCCTCTGGGTGCACACTCAGATCTGGCTGCTGGCTCTCACCTCCAACTGAGGAATCTAAAGAATTTAAATGACTCTGGACAAATCTCTGACTCACTAAGGGCTTTGATTTCCCCCATCCCTGAGACAGGTGTGATCATCCTTATCCTTTTGCTGAAGCTCAAGTAGTTATAGGGGTTGCAGCTGAGGTCGATCACGAGAAGGACTTCCAAGCTGGAGAAAGACATCAGGCTGCCCCTTACAGAGGGGAGCTGAGGAGAAGACGGCCCTGTTGGTGGGAGCGGTGGCTTAGCCGCAGACAGTGGTCTCTTACCAATGGAGAAGGGCACAAAAGCATCACTCTTCTTAAACTGCCCATTCTCATCCAGGAAGTGCTCTGGGTGGAAGTCTTGGGGGTTGGAGAAGAACTTGGGGTCCCTGAGCACAGAGCCCAGCATGGGGAACACTTCGGTGCCCTGGGAAGGAGGAGAGGGGTTATTTGATAAGGCAGAATGGGGGCACAGTGTGCTGAAAATGCATGGAGGTTGGAGGGACGATTGGTGTGCCCTAGGTGATGAGGAAGGGGAGGCGTGGGAGTGTGGGTCCACGGAGGGAAGAGCTTTGGGAGACAGGAGATTGGTGTGTCGGAGACAGGAAGCTATGCAGACGTGGGGCTTCTGTCTTGGGCGAAGGGAAGTTTGAAGAACACAGGTTCTGTGTCTCTTAGGACAGAAGGTGTGGGGGATGTGCAGTTCATGTCTCCCACGGTGGGGGTGGAGAGGACATGGGGGTTCGTGCTTCCAGAGACAGGAGGTTGTAAAGACACTGGGTTTGTGTCTCTTAGGCGGGATGTTTGGGAGACATGAGACTCGTGTCCTTGAGGGAGGAGGTCTAGAAATGAAGTCATGTCTTTTGAGAGAGGACGTGCGGGGACATGGGGTTCATAATCCCTGTGGCAAGAGCTCTGGGGGAGCTACTGGATTCAAGAAACTCTGAGTGGGAAGGTTGAAGGGACATGGTGGTTGAGGAAGTGTTTGATTGAGGCAGTGGGACAGCGGCTGGGAAGCTTCTAAGGGGGATGGGATGCTGGATCCCAGGGAGCAGGTTGGAGGTCCTCCTAGCAGGGATAAGAAAGTACCTTGGGGAAGAGGAACTCTCGAAACTTGGTGTCCTTGGTGACTCTGCGGGCCAGGCCCATGGGGATCATGTCTCCAAATCTTTGGATCTCGTGGATCACCGCCTCTGTGTAGGGCATCTTGGCCCTGTCTTCAAACTTGGGCTGACGGTTCTTGCCAATCACCCGGTCAATCTCCTCATGGAGTTTGGCTGTGGGAGGAGGGGGAATGTGTTTAGGTATCTGGGGGTCTCAGGGTGGCGACAGTAGTCCAAATATGTACATCCATGTGTGACACGAGCGTCGACCATTCAAGACAGAAGTTAGCCATAAACATTGTTGGGAACAGTGTCTTATTCACCTGGTCTCAACCTGTATGTGGTCTCACATACATTTGGCTCAGCACGGGAGCTATTTGCCCATCAGTTCACACATTTTTGGTATTTTAACAGCCAGTGAAACCCAACTAACACTCAGCAGAATATCACCTAGCATCTGGATGGCAGGGTATGGGTGAGGTTCCAGGCGTCTGGGAAGGGTGGGGACATTGCAGTGGGCTCAGAAGAAGTGTGGTGTGGCCACCAGGCCAGGGCCCCGTCCCCGCAGCCTTACCCTCCACGTGTGGATGTTTCATGAGCAGCAGGAAGCCGTACCGCAGGGTTGTGCTGACCGTCTCAGTGCCCGCAAAGAAGAGGTTCAGGGTGGTCAGCACCAGGTTCTTCATGTAGAACTCCGTGTTGGGGTTGTTCTGCTCCTGCAGGGAGAGGGCTTCAGGCCAGGCCCCCTCTCCTCGGCCCTCAGAGCCCTGCTGGGGTCTCTCCATCTGGACGCACCTCTCTTAGGTCCAGACCAGGGGTGGGAAGAGAGAGCCTAGTTCTGCCAGGGCTTTGTTTGGGCGTCTGGCTCTGGCCAAATGCCCTTCCCACACTCTCTCCCTGGCTACCTCCCTGCCCTTTAAGTGTCAGCCCTGGTGTCACTGTTTTAAGGGAGGACCCTTTAGAAGGAAAGGGACACTGACGGCGAGTGCACGGTGTGGAAGCGTTGCCTTATGGTGCACACGCAGGTCCTGCCCGTGGCAAGCGCAGGTAGAGGGAGCAGCCCGGGTATCACACGTGAGATTGTGAGGCTGTCATGACGGGGGTGATCTGGAGGGGCCCCTGGTCTCCCCATCCCAGCTGGTTTCCGTCTGCCTGGCTCTGCTGCTGCTGCACCGGCCGCTGGGCTGTACCTCCCGCATGCGGATGAGGAAGGAGTCGATGAAGTCCCGCGGGGAGTTGGGGTCCAGGGTGCGCTGGTTCTGCTCCACCTTCTTGGCTATGAAGTCCTCCAGACCCTGCAGCTCCTTAAACGCCTGCTGCTGTGGCCCTGGCAGGTGTTTCATCACTGAGTAAAACATCTCATAGAGCTGAGAACAGGAGAGAAGAATGGCGGAGAAGGATAGATATTCGCGGGCAGGTCCTGCTGGGAGCGCAATCTTTCTCGGGGTAAGGAAGGAAGTGGTTTGAAGGCATCTGTCCAGGTGTTTAGGATTCATATGGGCTTGATGGGAGGAGATACGTTAAGTTTTTAAGTGAGTTAGGCTTGAGGGCCCCTGTCCCAGAATATAGGTGAGATGGACTGGGCTGTGTATCTGGGTTTCGGGTGTTTGGGTGAGGCTGGATTGGAGAACACATCTAGGTGTTCAGATACTCAGATGCGGTTGAATTGGGAGACTCCTGTTTAGGGGTTGACCTGTTTTCTTCTACATAGGGGTTGAGGTATTCAATTGGGACGGGTGGGCAAGTGTTGAGGTGGGCGGAGATAGCTGATCCTGTTTTAGATTTCACAGAGTTGATGGGGGCACTTCGGTAAGGGAGTCAGCTGGGTTGGGGGACACTTTTGGGTGTTTGGGGAAACATCCATTAGGTGTTTACATGTGGAGGGGTCTTCTTGGTTGGGGGCACCTGTCCAGATGTTCAGGTATTCCATGGGGCTCTGTAGGGACACTTATCTAGGTGCCCAGTAGGCTGGTTTGGGACACCTAATGATTTTGGTGGGCTGTATTTCATAGCACCTGGGGCACCTGTATTCAGGAGGTGGGCTGAGGTGGTCACTTGTTCAGGTGTTAAGATACAAAGAGGTGGACTGTCTTCCTAGGGACCAGTAGGTCAGCTGGGATGAAACCAATGTCCAGGCATCATGGCTGGGCAGATTACATGTTCTTCCCTGCAGGCTCTGTCTGTTGTTTGTTTGGTCTGGTTTTTATTTTTTGGGTGTGGGGAGCATCTGTGGAGATATGCAGGTGTCCTTGGAAAGTGGGTATTCTGGTGTAAGTGTTCCACTGTTCATGAGTGGTTTTGATGGAGAGGAGGAGGATGGTAGCTCGGGGCACCTGTCTCCACATGGGAAAGCAATTGGTGGGTGGTGGTAGGGATGCTTTAGAGCGAGACTGGGACGGGTTACCTGCCCCGTAGATGTAGCTGTGAACTGGAAGCTTCCCAGCATCATACGCAGCAGGGACAGGAACTCTTTGTCCTCATAGTCAAAGCGGTCCCCAAAGACAATGGAGCTGATGACATTGGACACTGTTCGGCTCAGGAAGAAGGTGGGATCGATGAAGGCACCTGGGGAATGGGATAGGGTTGGGGAGAGACAGGATTTGGGGGAGCATCAACTGGGCTGTCTCATGCCAGCTTGAGGATTGGAGGAGGGCACTGGAGTGAGAACTCAGACGTCCAACACAAGACCCAGAGCCTGGAACCCTGATGCCTTCCCCCAAGCCAGTCCCCTTCCTTGAGGAGAAAGCCCTCATCGTGCTGGTGTATCCCTCCTTCTCCCTCACTCCCAGCCCTGCTCACCCTGCGTGCCCCGGAGGGCCTCAATGAGGAAGCCCGCCTCCTCCTGGATGCGCTCCTCAATGCCCCGCTTGCCCACTCCGAAGTCCCGCAGTGTGGTGATGGAGAAGCGCCTGAGCTGCTTGGCGCGCTCCCCGTTGCTGAATGCCACCCCTGGGGAGGGAGCATAGGGTGTGGTGAGGTGGGGAGGGGCGGGGACAGAGGTGGACGGAGCTGACCGGATGGCCGGAGTAGAAGGATGGATTGGGGCGGAGAGATAGGGAGAAATACAGCTCAGGGTCAGAGAAACACTGAAAGAGATAGAGACCGGGTTGGAAGAAAAGAATCAGAAGGAGAGAGGCAAGTTAGATGCCCAGGGAGACTGAGAGATGGAGACACAGAAACAGAGAGAAAGAGGGAGGGGAGGGGAGGAGGAGTCTGATCTCTGTGGAGATCTGGGAAGTGGCAATAAAAAACATGAAGGATCCTAACGCAGAGCTGGAGAAAGAGGAAAATATGGAGAGAGAACAGAGAAGGTCTGGAGAGAGCAGAAACAAGGGAGATTCTCACACAGGGTAGAAAGAGCCAGACAGAGGGAGACAGAAGCTTGGGGAAGTCAGAAGCAGAGTAGTTGGAGGCAAGGATACGGGGACGGAGGACTTGGGATCCAAGATGGAAGAAGAGGAAGAGGCATCCATGGGAGAGAATGGGGAGATGGGCCGAGAAGCAGGGGGAAACAGGGACGCAGACACCCTGAGCCAAGCTAGAGAAGACAAAGGAGAGGCCACAATAACCAGGGACAGGGACAGAGGAGAACAGGGGTAGAACTCAGCCACAGGCTCAGGTGGGTGAGTCAGGAGAAGAGCAGTGGGGAAACTGAGGCCATCAGGTGTGCCTGGCCACGAGCCCCCACCCGGAGCTCCTCACCATAGCCTTTGAAGAGCCAGTCGAAGGTGGCCTGCCCGCCTCGCCCGCTGAACTCCTCAGCCTGGTCTACCAGAGCCTCCTTCACCGCCTCGTGTCCACACAGCACCACGATGCGCCGGGGTCCCAGGTGGACCGTGAACACCGGGCCATAGCGCTCACTGATCTGATGGAGGTGGGGGGCTTAGAGGCTGCAGCCCCCACTGGGAGCCGGCCTGTGCCCAGCCCTCACCTACTGCATGCCTTGCCCCCAGGTTCTGATACTCAAGGGGCTGGACATCCCAAGATCTGCTCTTTCTTGTCTGGGATCCTGCAGCCCAACCCGCAGATTTCCACTCTCTGAAGACTCTGGTCCAACCTTGCCCATCCCCTGCCACTCAGTCCCAGCTCAATCAGGCCAGCACCCAGCCCCACCCCACTGCACCCATCCCGTGTCCTGACACCTTCATGAGAGAGTTGTACATCTGCTCTGTGTTCAGCTGCAGGTAGTTCCCGATGAAGGGCAACGGGGTGGGTCCCGGAGGGAGCTTCCCCCAGAGCTTCCTCTGCCTCCAGACAGTCATCAAGACCATGATGGTGAGGCAGGCCAGCAAAGCCACGAAGAGCAGCCCTGAGGCCAGCATGGTGGCCCTGGGAGAGACGGTCAGATGGTGCTGGCTGGGTGGTTTGCCTTTATATGACCTGGGAGAGGAAGGCGGAGTTTGGCACTCATTACATAATTGTACCATTTCACTCCCCAGCTAACCCTCCCCCCAACCCTGGGCTCACTGCTGAGCTTGGCACACAGCCACTGAGGCAGGAGGCGGGGACCCCAGGAGGATTAATGAGGAATACGGCCCCAGGACAGAGTGTGTTGGCCCTCAGGAGGGACCACCCCAGGGCTGCAGAATTGACTGAAGCAGTAGATAAATTCCAGAACTGAAGAGTTTAGAATTCTTGTACATGGAGCACCCCCATGCTTTGGATTTTCGGACTCAGAGTGAGAAGGGACCCTAGTATTGCAAATTTTGAGATCTCCAGAAAAACGAACCCAGAGATCTGGGTTTAAGAGTGTTGGAATGCGGAGCACCAGGGTAGCTCAGTTGGTTAAGCATCTGCTTCTTGGTTTTGGCTCAGGTCAGGATCTCAGGGGTTGTGAGATAAGCCCAGTGTGAGGCTCGGGGCTGGGCTCGGGGCTGGGCTGGGTGGGGAACCTCCTTAAGATTCTCTCTCTCCCTCTCTCCCTCTGACCTCTGGCCCCCTCCCTGCCCCTCTTCCTCTCCACCCCTCCCCTCACCACCAGGTACTCCCTCATTCTCTCTCTCAAAAAAAAAGAAGAAAGAAAAAATAAGAGTGTTGAAATGGGACAGCATGTGTGGCTATGGATGTGGATTTGGGGGGTTTGAGGAGGAGGGCTGTACATTTAAAGGTCTCAGGAGGGGAGCGGGTGCGTGCGTGGCTCGGTCCATTAAGCACTGGACTTTTGACCTCTGCTCAGGTCTTGATCTCATGGTCATGAATTCAAACCCAGAGTTGGGCTCCAGGCTGGGTGTAGAGCCTACTTTAAAAATAAAAAAGGTCTTGGAAGGGGAAATCCCAGGGAGTGGATTAGAGGGTCTTGGGGTGAGGGAGGACCCCTAGCTGTGATGCGGGGTTCCCAGAAGAAGTATGCGGGACTCCAGCAGGATCAAAGGGTCAGCACCTCCCCCAGGCTTTGACCTACCTTTGCTTTGGGCAACGGTATCCCAGAATCCCCATGGGGACCTGAAAGCAAGGTCAGGATCGGTGTCACTGCCCCTCTGTGGTTGGGAAAGGGGTAGAAGTCCAGAGCCACATTTAAGGGGAACCTTTCTTAGGAAGGAAGGGTAACTTGTGGTCTCCGTGCCAGAGGCCCTGGGCAGGACTTGGAAACAGTAAAGACATCCACCCATATGGGGCCAAGAAGTCCCGAGTGTCTCAAGGACTGTAACTGACAGAGAGCCTCTCCGGTCCTACCCAGACCCTTGGGGGAACTCACTAGCTTCACCATATCCATTGTCACTGTTGGTAGAAGTGCTACCATTGGTCCCCATCTGGTGTGTGAGAGTACTGAGGACAGAGAACAGGGGTCAGGGGCTCCTGCATCTCCTGCTCCACACGCTTGCACCCCCGTTCTGGGACTGGGTTTCCCACCAGTGGAAAGGGGGCACTCGAGAAGAGGAGGCAGAGTGTGAGGGCATGGGAGGTCCCTTTGGGGTGACTCTGGGCTCGGCAGGGCTGGCAGCACCCAGAGAGAACGGCAGCAGGGAGAGGTTTGGGGAGACTCCTGAGTGGGGAGAGAGCCAGGCCCTGGAGGCTGACAGTGAGAGAGAGGAAATGTGGTGGCCCTGCTGTCCTTCCTTCAGTCAAGTTCTTCCTTAACAGTGAGGCGCTAGGCTTTGGTGAGCCCAACTGAAGAGCCAGTGCGTGAATGTGACCCCACGGAACCCCTCTAGCAGGGGGCTCTCTCACAGCACCCCCCTTTCGCTGTTCAGAAGAGCAGGCCTCCCCACGGTCACTTGCTCGAGGTCACACATGTAGCGGGTAGGAAGCTGGGACTTGAACCTTGTCCTCTCCTGCCTCCACTGACCGACCTAGACCATCCTGAGGGCCAAGTGGAGCCCAAGTTTAGCAAGGAGTGGTGTGGGATTGGCATCGGCGCTGGACACAGAGATACGCTAGCAACTTCTGCCATTGGCATTGGCTTGCCCCCGCTAGACACTGGAGTTGAAAGCAAGTGGACCCTGAACTTGATGCCAGGAGAACCCTCACAGAGCCACTTCTGGCTGCAGGAGGGTCTGCGAGCAGGCCCCGGTGGCCACTGGGGCTGGCGCCGTGTGGCTCAGAGGTTGGTCCCAGCCGGCTCTGACATGAACATCATGTGGGAACTGGACTGGTCTCCCGTGGGCCTGATCGGGGACTCGATGGGCACGAGGCAGCATCTGATGTTTGGAAACCTGCCCCCACCTGCTCAGATGCCAACTCTGACTTAGGACGAGTGCAGGTGGGAGAGGTTGGCACTCTCAGGACGGGCATGTTGCTCCAAGAACTTTGAGGTTCTAGACCTCTAAGCTGGATTCCTATAGGGAGGGAACGAAGAGCAGAAAGCAAAACAGAGATAGGAAAGTTTGTTGATTTTATTTTATTTTTAAGATTTTATTTATTTATTTGACAGAGAGAGAGATCACAAGTAGGCAGAGAGGCAGGCAGAGAGAGAGGGGGAAGTAGGCTCCCCACTGAGCAGAGAGTCTGATGCGGGGCTCAATCCCAGGACACTGAGATCATGACCTGAGCTGAAGGCAGAGGCTTAACCCACTGAGCCACCCAGGTGCCCCAAGTTTGTTGATTTTAAAGGGAACAGAGGAGGGAAGGATTAGCACAGGCTTGGTGGCTATCAGTCCCTTTAATCCCAAACACCAGCCTACACCTGGGCTGGCAACAAGCCCATCCATGCCCCCCTCCACTTCCCCTTGGTCTTCTTTGGCAAGGAGGGAGGTAGAATTTCGAGAGTTTGTTTGTCAGTGAAGTTGGCACCAACCAGGGCATGGAGCGTTCAGACAGGCTGTCATGAGCTGGGGAGAAGTAGGCCGTGTGGCCGACAGAAGTACTTGGCAACAGAGGTCAAGTGTGCCTGATCTTGTTGGTAACTCTGGAAACTGGAGTGAGGCCAGCATCTGTCATCACATTCCTTCTCCCCCAGAGGCAGGAGTATGCCAGGCCAGTGTGCAAACAGCGTCGGTGGGCATCAGTTTCCAGGGTGAGTTAGGGCAGCGCCCAAGAAAATCTCTTTCCCTCCCTGGGACTCAGTTTCCCTTCTGGACAATGGAGCAGCAGTGAAGCACACAGTGAAGGCATGGATGAAATATCTTACTATTGCTTACTATTGCTACTATTCCTTGATCAGGTCACCTCACCTCTCTGAACCTCCTGAGGCCAAGGACAGGATGTACCTCTTAGCTTATTATGGGAGGAGTCATTGATTAATGGGTTTGAAGTACATGGCCATTAAGTGCCAAAAATGAGTAGCTGTTCCCGTTACTCTGTGGGATGATGACTAAGGGATTCAGTAAGGGATTCTCTAAACCCCCTTCCAGATTTTACATTCTCTGGTCTAAAGCTCCAAATACTTTTCTTTGGGAAAGGAGGAAGGGAGAGAAAGCCTTGTGGGAACCTGCCTGCCCTTCCTTCTTTTATTTTTTTTAAGATTTTATTTATTTGACAGAGAGATCACAAGTAGGCAGAGAGGCAGACAGAGAGAGAGGGGGAAGCAGGCTCCCCTGCTGAGCAAAGAGCCCTGCTCAGGGCTCTTTGCTCAGCAAAGAGTCTCAATCCCAGGACCGGGGGCTCAATCCCAGGACCCTGAGATCCCAGGACCCTGAGATCATGACCTGAACTGAAGGGAGAGGCTTACCCCACTGAGCCACCCAGACACCCCACCTGCCCTTCCTTCTTTGGCACAACTGAGCCTTCCCCCCCTGGAGCTGAGAATGGAACATGGACCTTGCGGGCAGTCTTCTGGAGGGTCGGTGGAGTAGGCACTGGATGCGGAAGGCAGATCAGGGATAGACCCTCAGGCTGTCTGCCTCTCCCCCAGAGCACTTTGCCCATCGGCTGTGTCTCCCCTTGCATCTGACTGTCTTATTCTTTATTCTTTGTCTTCCCTGCAAGTCCACCTGCCCTCCCGCCCTCTTGTGTGCTTCTGGGTCTTTCTGTTCCTGCCAGCCTGTGCAGCGGGTTTTCCTAGATGCCTCTGTTGTGTATCTTCTTATTTATACGTCTGTCTACGTATCATTCCGGCCACGTGCTTGGGATCTCTGCACATCTGAGCACGTGTACGTGTCGGCATGTCCATGTGGATAAATGGATTTATGACACTCCCGTCTGTGGAGTGTTTGTGCATAAGCGGGTCTCCATAGCTGTTTGTGTCTAGACATGTCCGTCTGTGTGAGCCCACAAAGTGGGGTGTGTGCGCAGGCCAGTGTGCCCGAATGCACAGCCATGTCTGTGTCTGTGGGCAACCAAGTACATGGTTTGGAGTACGCCTGTGGGAGGACGTCTCGTGAGTGTCCGTGTATCCACCCTGATGTCTACTGTGCACCCACACGTGTTTGTATGCAGGTCCTGCTGGTGACAGTGTATGGCTGTGTGGTTGGACATTTTGTGTGTGTGTGTGTGTGTGTGTGTGTGTGTGCTGGTGTAGTGTGTAGGCACGTGGGCCACGCTGTGTACACGTGGCTGCGATCTGCTGGTGCCTGTCTGTCTACGCTCAGACGCAGCCCTGGCCCAGCTCTCCACTTCCCCGTCTTAAAAACACGAGTAATTCCCTATTTGTCAGGGTGCTGTGTCCCTGGGCTTTCAAGGGTCACACCAGGCAGAAAAGGGCTGCATGGGACAGGTGTGTCCTGAGAGCATTCTGAGGTGGGTCAGCTCCTATCGGATCGAGGCAAACGTCCATTCAGAGAATTCCCTCCCACAGCGCCCCCAGCCTCCTAAGCCAGTCAGCACATTTAAGACAGTCATCCTCCCAGCGCTGTCACCCCGCCACTCCGTCCCAGCCTTGCTGAGGGATGCTGAGGACACAGGGGTGACGCTGAGCCCTGCCCTCCTGAAGCCGGCACAGGGCTGGGGTGAGAAGGTGCAGGCAGAGGGCTGGGCTGGGGGAGCAGG